GCATGTTAGTGTGTGATAAGAAACTACACTAATATATATATATATATATATATATATATCAAGCTTTAAACAATAAACACAAGGGTGATTAAAACTATTCTTTATTCAACACTTTATTAAAAATAACATAACTTTCAAACTAAAATAAGTGGAAAAATCAACTGATTTAAAAAACTTTTACTGACTGATGTTTCAAGCAAACAGTCTTTATCTTTCATAATCTACATGCAAAATCAACAGAATAAAACTCCCTGCTTTTTTATCCCATGCTTTCTTTTTCGTCTTACAATAAGTAGAAAGTTTTTAGTGTGCATTAGACTCTAAGTTACTTTAATACTGGGAAAGCTGTGATTTTATGACTTTCCTTAAGTTTTATCTTTCCATAATATTTTTTATGTTTTCCTCATACAAGTATCTGAAAATTTTGTCATATTTCCTCTAAAAAAACAAGTATAACTGTAAAAGGATATCTACAAAACAACACTTAAATTTAAGTACAGTAATTAATTCTAATAAGTTGTAATCAGGCCTGTACACAGAGTGTTTGAAAGAGTGGGTTCTAATTTGTGAGATCAAATGCCAACACATATTGTGTGAAGCACAATCAGCTATGGGGGTTTGGAGGCATGCTGAAACTATTTGAGGAGATACTCCCTTTCTTAAAATATTAGTATCCCCCCCCCCCTCCCTACATATATATGTGGTAATATTTTTTTTCTTTTAATCTTTCTTGTATTCAACTATACTAAACAAGAAATCCAAAGAACCTTCAGCAAAAGTGTATACACATACTTACAAATTCTGGTGTGCGACAAGGCTGCTTGGAGGTAGTTCTATGATTAATTACAGTGGCACAAGCCTATAGAAGAAAAGAACAGGTTACAACAATGTAAATACTTATGTGTAAATTATTCAACTGTAAGATAATTATTTTTATAGTCTACTTATTACATCAACCTTTCACTTGAAACACCTAGTAGCACTGAATACTTATCAACTATCATTCAAGAAAAAAGCTCATATGACATTAGGTATTAAGTTTCTTTAATCTTTAATTTGCTATTGTTTGACTAATTAATTCATTACAGTTACACAATAAAACTGTACTTAAACTTATAAAAGGCATAAAAGCTCACTTTATCTAAGGCTCCCATAAACTGTTGGTCTCCATGGAATACTTCTTTAATCAGCCGCTGATATTTGTTGTGAACCTGTAGAACAGACTCTACAAATGTCTGAGGAACCTTTTAGGGAAAAAGTAATTTCAATGTTAATAAAAAAAATAATTTTATTGTACAACTATTAAAATTATCTTTTTTGAGCTAATTTTTATTAGTTTTAAAAAATTGGTTTCTTTAAACAATCTCACTTCTTTATAAAAACAATTAATTTTGATTTCCTATTGAATCAGTTTTAAACAACAGGGAATACTGACAACAAAATTGTAACAAAAACAAAATTCAGAAGTTGACATAAGGTTCAGCTAAGTTAATGGTAATTTGTTTAAAACCAATTTTACTACAGCTTAAGTCAATAACTCAATAGATGGCTACAAAAAGAGTCTTTCCGTCCTCCCAGTAAAGAATAGTTTAAGTATCTTTTCTGTAGCAATACAGCTAACTCAAATATGATTAGTAAAGAAATCTTTTAGTTTTTACAAGAGTAATATGTTGTAAGAGTGCTATAAGATGTGTAAAATTAAACTAATATAGTTCACATTCACTCTCAGATTATATCACTTACTTCATTTTCGAATTGCTAAATTTTAATAACAATAGAAGAACACACAGTATAAAAGCACAACAAGGCATTTTAATTATGTTAACACCCTGGCTATTAAATAAGACTTTTTTTATCACCCAATAAGAATAAGGAACTTGGTTATATTAATACTGATACTAACAACAATTGTTTATAATTGCTAGAGGATGTAACACTTTTTATCCATCTATAGTTCTGGTTAACAACTAAGCCATATTTCACTTTTTAAAATGCTAGATGCTTTTGTTTGTCCTAGTGAGATAACAAGTGGGAATAAGATCAATTTAAGGTGTATTACCTGTCTTACTACAAATGGCAATGTCAGAGGGCAGAGGGATGTAATGCTTGGCTCCTGCCATTCTAAATATTTGTCTGACCCTAAAGTTCACAGGACACATCTTCAGGTAACAGACAATTGTATACAAGACAACAACACCCAAAGAAACACGATCAAATCTCTGGTTAGTCTTTTTATTTTTTTAGCCAATCAGAGGAAGAAATGAATCACTTGAAAGTCACCTTAGTAATTTTTAGTTTATTAACACAAAAATAAAAATCTGGCAGCAAAAATAATCCTACTTTATAAGCTCCTCATTTATCATTCACAACTATCTCCTTATCCTTCTAAAATAAAAAAAAATATTCCTAAGTCCATCTGCCTGTCACCTGCTTATTCCACCCACCACTTTTAGAATCCTAGAGATGTTTCTCTCAATTATTAGATAATAAATGAATCATATTTCATTTTCTAATTGCTCTAGGACTTCTAATGTATTACAGGATTTTCAAGTATTGAAATAATCAGACCTTTAAAAAAGTAAAAACTTACATTATCTCCTTGTAGATTACTAATAGAATCCAGCCCAATCCTTGTTATATGCTGTTGCACTTGTTTGATAAGAGAATCAAGACCTAAATGTACAGGCTTTAACAAAGTGTACATATTTTGCAGATCTGCAAGATATTAGGAAACAAACACATTTCTTGAACTTTACTACAAAGATACACTGTGAATTTATAACAAACACTTTCTAATGCATTTTCAAGAACAAGAAAAATATTCTCAAGATTCATAGATTTAATCATTGTTCTGAAGCTTACTTTTAAAAGGATTGACACTATTGCTTATGAATATTTTACTATTCACCATTTAACCCTTTCTGAATCAGAGGGTCTCACGGAAACATTCAACCAAATTATTAAATAAAATCTCATATGTTGTTAAAAAATTATCAATGTTTGATTTAATGTTTCTATTACTTTTTAGATTCTTAAATTTCAAAATTTTATAGTGTTTTTGACATAATATAAAACTTTAGAGGCAGTTTTGTATTTGATTAGTGAAGGGCTTTTCATCTCTATCCATTTGGCTGGGTTTTGCTGACGTTCTGACGTACATGTTACCATAAGCAATGTACAGGCCACCATTTATAACCGGACCCATCCCTACACAGGAATCGCTATTGTGCCCCCTGATAACCAATCGCAATACATATAAATTGTACTGTTAACATGGGCTGGCCTTAATTTGTAATTAGTTTATTATAAACATCTAAATATTGGCCAATCATGCAGTACCAAAACATCCTGAATATAAGCTAAATATTTTGAAAGAGGTTAACACAAAAAAAACCTATTTCCTTCAAACCAATAGAAATCATCTCTACTTTATCAGACACCTGAATCAATTGGCAGTACCTTTTTTTCTCTCTTGCTGTACCATGTTCACACACTCTCCATGTAAAAACTTGAGATGATCTGCAACCATTCTCTGCTCACACTCCTCTGTTACTCTGGGGTAAGAACTGGGATGAAGGAATTTCCGACTCCTCAAGTTCTCAGCATCTAATCGCTGTAAGACCTAATTTTTGCACAAAGAGCATACATCAGGAAAATGTTTAAAACAATTATTTTCATAAAATAAAGAATAAATGATACACAAGAAACTAAAATGTGAAAGGACCTCAACAAAAAACCAAAACTATTATCTCCTTTTTTTTCTAAAGGACAAAAAATAACAAAGCTGAAGAAAGTAGGGGCTTCTGTGGTGAAGCAAGTATAAATAGCAAAAGTAAAAGTTACATTTGCAACATATTTTTCTGTTCATTTGGACCCATAATAGGACATTATGTACACAGAGAAACCAGCCAAACATCTTTAAATAAATCAAAATGGTCATAAAAAATCAATGGATTTATCGAACAAAACAAAAATAAATGTAAAGATGAATCACAGTAAGTTTAATTTTATTTTTCAAAGTAAAATAACCAAAACAAGAAATAGATAGAATAAACAATAAGAGTATTTATGCATTACAAAAGTGTGCTTGAAGGACATCTATGTTTGTTCAATAGACATACACAAAAAAATTTAACTAAACAAATATGAAACTAATCTAAAGAAAATAATATGTTAAGTGAACTCTATAAAAACTTAAACAAAAGAAAATAAAGAAACAAATTTCTTTTTTAAATCTACTGGGTGAGGACAAAACGTATGGAATAAAAAGGAAATCAGTGACAAATAATAAAAGAATCACAGCATAATGCATTCATCTGATTATAGGAGGATCCACGAGACTTATTCCTTTCTGAATTAGTTTCCAGGATTACAAATAAACAATATGGAAAAGCATTCATAAAGTTTGATGATCAGAGAACTATATACACACACACATTAAGAATCAAGGACATTTATAAGCAGAACAGTTTAGTCTTATCAGTTCCTATTTTTACAGTACAAAGTACATTTAAACTACTTATTTTAATCACAAGCTGTGGTACCCGTCCTTTGTCCGGGCTATGAATTTAAATAAATATGAGGGTGGATGCTATGATAAACAACATAAAAAAATCTTAATTTTTACACAATATATTTATAACGTAACATAATATTACAGTATTCATTAGTACCTCACCCAAAATTTGGTATTAGCTTTCAGAACTTATTATGTAGATACTTAAAACATGGTATACACTGTGCAATGGTCAGGGTGACTTTCTATTAAGAAATAGTGGCTAAAGTAGTGGCAGTATGAGAACTTTCTCTCACCCGCTTTCAATGCTCAGCTCTTAATGTCCTTTCACACTGTTTCATGTAATTAACAAACTGATGGTCATTAGCTGCAGAAGTATCTTATGGGGTGAAATTGTAAAGTCACGGGTCAAAGTGGGTATAACTTAAGAAACAACTCTTCATATCTACATTGTGGTGGCTATTATTGTAGAAACTTCATTTGAATTTATGTATTAATGCAATAATGGTGGCAATTTTTTTTCATTGCATTCCTCCACTAGAGAGTGCTAGCGCACTGTCTGAGATATACAACGTGTTTGTATGCCCTCCCCCACAATGTGTGTATGTTGTGTTATAGAAAATTTAATAATTGTTTGGTTTGGTATAAGAACATAGCACTATCTATGAAGGTAGTTAAAGTTAACTTTCACCAAAGATAATAAATGCTCAATAACAGCAATAATGCAGGGGTAGAGAGGGTTGTGAAACCCCTATTAACATGCCCCTTTTTTCCAAATTATCATCCACAAAGATTGGTCCAGTGACCTAGGAGTAGTTAGCTAATGGACAAACAGACAGACACACAGATTTTTGTGCTTTATATAATTATAGATTTCATTGTATAACGTACAGTGGGATTAACAGTGCCTTTCATAATCAAATGCAACTTTATGACATCATTTGCAAAAACAAAACATTTCAAAATCTCAAGCTTTATAAAACACTAATAATACCAGACACAATAAGCAAGAAATAGTAAATTATACTTTCTGGTTACAGCATAAATGTTACTTTACTAGTCAGCCTTTGTTTCAGATGAGATTTAGATAGTGTTTTTTTTTTTATTTTCAAGTTTACAGAAAAAAAAAGTTATATATACATATATATATGAATGTTTAGTTCCATTTCACACAAACTTACTAAATTTCACAGCGTACAAAAGAGCCTTACCTTAACCATATACTGGGAACACTCTGATTCACATAGCAGCATACTGGCTTCTTTCCTGTAGTATTCACCAGTGGCTTGAAGAAATGGAGTTTCAAACATTTCCCGATATAGCTGAGGGATAACAGTTAACAATATAATGACTGTAATGTCTCACATTCTGATGATAATAAGGCAAAAATGTCACTTTCTCAACAAATAGAATAATATATCAATGTAATATTATAATGATCAATCAGTGATATAAAGGTTTAACTATCAATCCCAGTGTTCAAAGTTTTCATCCCATTGGTGCAAAAACATGATCTTTAATGTGAGACAAAGAGTGATGGTTCAATCCCGCTATTTGGTCAGATGAAAGTAGCCCAAGAGTTGATGATGGATGCTGTTTACTGTTCAAAATTAGGAACATCTATGAGCAGATAAACCTTGTAGAGCTTACTGTGAAACTTCTAAACAAACATGATGTGAAGGATATAGCACACTAACCACTAGGCCACATTAATTAAGACCTATACTTTTGTAATTTAACAAGAATTGCACTAGTAATGCTGAAGCTAGACAATTTTCAGATACATAGGCACCATAAAAACATTCCCACAGTAACACAACAACAACAAAAATAAATACTGTTTAAACTCAAGCTTGTCTCAGTTTTAAGTATTCTTCATATTTTAATGCATGGATTTCCTGGTAAAATTGATCTTGAAAGAAAAGTATTGTTTGTTAAGGTTTCATTGTGTGGTGATAATCAAAGGAGTGTTAATTAAGTTAAAAGTAAAAACGTTTTTTTTTTTTTGGCACAATAACAGTCTTTATTAGATATTTCACCCAAGTAGTTACCATAATTAAAGCTAGTCTAGCAAAATTAGCCCTCATGATGGTAACTGTGTTACCGGAACTAGTCAGCTGAAATATTTAATAAAGATTTTATTTTACATCATCCAAAAAAACATTGTTTTTATTATTGAAAATGTCTCAATCATTCATATTATTAGAAATACAGAAAAACAAATTTTAAACAGTAGAAGTTTTTATTTTATTTTTTATTGTAGTTTTTCCTATAATTCCAACAAGCTGAAATTTTACACGACACAAAATAATCCTAGAGAAAGTTTCAGTTTGCAATACAATGAAGATAATCATGAATGTCAAAGTAAACATTATTCAAATTACCTGTAATGATCCTTTCTTTTTATACTCTTCAACTAAGACAAACGAATCAATAACTCCATGAATAACTCTCTGATTAGGGCTATCTCCTAAACGATCACTAACAAAAGAAAAAAACAAGAGATATTTCAAAAAATTAACTCAGCATAAATACATTACAAAGAGGTGTGAAAAAATCATATCTAAATTTATTTATAAATCATACCAATCAGTGGTACATCTTTACCAAACTACCTGTATAACCAGGCTCGGGGAAGTTTCATGTACACACTGAATTATGAAACATAAATATATAGATTTTCAATATTAATTGCAGTACCATGGAAGTGCAAGTTTGTTGTAGAAGCAGGTCAGCTGGTATTGTCAAACTTTTAGAGAACATAAAGTACAGTGCTTTAAAACATAGCAGGGTTGAATATTACCCAATCTCAAAGCATAGAAGTGAGCTTTTCTTGATCATAAGAATGACATTTTCTACCATAATTTCAAAGGATGATTTCATAAATATTGGCAAGCAGTAAGAGTAGAGGGCACAGGTATAAATATAAAAAATCCACACTCCAGTCAAAGTAGTTTTAATTTTCTTACAGGTTATTTAGCCTATGAAATAGTTTGACTTTAGGTGTGGTAGAAGTTGGAACATTAAAGGACTTAAGAGGAGAGTGGCTGAGTATTTTTGTGATCAGAGTTGGATATAATAAAAGGGGTTTATAAATACACACATATATATATATAGTTTAATAGTTTGATTTTATAATTAATCAAAACAAACCAGACAAGTCAAAAGTTCCATAATACCAACCTTCTGACAGCTTCAAGGAGGAGATTGAGCAAACTGTCTTTCAGAGGTTCTATCATGTTACGTTTCCAAAGGTCAAGACCTAGCTGTAGAATATAAAGATATATGATTCACAGCTACTAGGAATTAACAGTATTGTGCTTCTTGAGGAAAGTTCATACCACATAAATTGTTTCATCTGGCTCTAATAATTCACCTACTTATCAAAACTTTTATAATTTGTATGTAAACTGTGTAATGGAAAAACATCAACACATGGAGGAAAAAAAGGAAAACAATAGTAATGAAAGAAACTAGGATGCATAATTTATTAATTTTCTATGAAATCTGAAATGTCACTTGTTACCCCATTGTTAAACAGCAGCAGTACCACTGGATATATTTCTGTTATAGCAAATAAAATTTTTAACATGAAAAAAATAAATAAAATATATACAACACTCTGCTAAGTATATTACATCATCATAAAAAAGTAACTGTGAAAACATCCACTCAAATCTGGAATTTTCTATAAGATAGGTAGAAGAAATCTAAATGACCTTCCCTGACTGTTGGAGCAAAAATTTAGAGTAAATGATTCCTTTATTTTTCTTTCTTGGTTGTAAGCTAAGCTCTGGGCATAGTCAAACTTTGTCTTTGTTGATTAACCTTAGTATGTTTACATACATTAGGGGTGACACATGCATTTTTAAACTAACTTCTAACAACATGAAAATTGCTAATAGCAGCATTATGTTGTATTTTAATGGTGACAAATGGTGAATACCTACTGTTATATGTATTTTAAACTTCAAATGTTTACAAGATCATTTGAAAGTGAATGAAGCTGTGACTCTTGCAAGATGAGGTAATTTCACACTTGCCTGAGTTTAGCATCTATGCTAAAAACAGCATGCACAAGGTGATACTCTCATGAGTTATGTACAGTAGTTGTCAAAATTATCTCTCTTTGCTTATAAATTGTACATATTGAAAATAAGCAAAAAATTATAGTTTTATATTTATTAAAAAGATAAAAATTATCTTTCCATCCAGATATGTTTTTAACTCTGTAGTGACCCTATGTCTTATAGTAGGTCTGTACACTTTTTTCGTGTCTAAACTTTAACATCAATTATCTTGTATATCAATCCCGTGTCAAAGTCAGCAACTTTTCCATGCTAAAATGGCTGTTGTTATCAACTCAGCTAATCCAAAACTAAATACAGTTCTGTTTTTTTTCTTTTATTATGGGTCTACAACCTTTAAAATTGGGTGTTTTCTTACTCATTTTCTTTAATGCATTGCTTAGTTTTCTTTTCTGCAGTTTTTAAATTGATTTAGTAAAGCTCCTCTTTTTTAATTTTGTCCATGAAATAAAGTCACTGACTTCTTGATCAACACTATTATTACTCGTGATGCCATTTCAATCACTGTATATTTACCAAATACCTATTTTTACATATAACAATTCTGCTTAAAATTAGAAGTAAACCATTCAGTATCAAATGAAAATATTTTATATAAATAATCATAAACAACACCATCTTATTGAATTTTAAAAGAAAAACAAAAAAAAAGTCCAGGGAAGAACAGCTATGACTTTTAAATGTTCCAGACTAGTTGGAGAACTAAGCAGTCCAAAATAAATTATTACTTACACAATGGCTTTACTCTGTGAATTTTCGGCTTACTAGTTTCTTTTAAATCATTAAAGCTGCAAAAATTCCAAGTCAATCAATATAAGTTTATAACTTCTCAATATATTAAGAAGTTAATATATATATATATATATATAATGGATAATGCCTGTGGTGATAGACCCCAAATGCATTGGGGATATCTCATCTACCAGACAAAATTCAAAAGCTGATGTTAAACTAGCCAGCAAGCATGGAAAAATCAATTAACGGTATGGATTTGAGTGCTTACACCCACAATGTCTCAACTCCTACTGCCTTTCACTGTCTGCAGTCAGTTGTGGGAAGGCAGTTACCCTTAAAAGTTCTTATAATTCTTAAAGCAGAAATGAAGCCATTCCAATATTTCTACTATAGGCAACTCCTCACCTCCACCCTTACAAATAAAATAATAAAAGATCCCAAATAAAATTATCTTAAATAGAACTACAAGCCCTACTTTAATACTTCTTATGTATTTCATATTCCAAACCTCCTCCCTTTCTCTTGAAAATATATACAAGAATGACATGGGAAAGCCAAGACAAGCCCGGCTACTTGTAGTTTGTCTTTCCATTCCAGGTATACTGAATAAAATTTCAATTTTAGCTACTTAAAAGTAGCTAATAACCTCCAATGTTTTATAACAAATATGAAAATATTTTAAAAATAAATGGTCGATAAGGAAAATATCTTTATTATCACAAAAGGTTGCTTAATTGATTTTCCATGCTTGCGGGCTAGTTTAATCTCAACAATGGATTTTGTCTGGTACATGGGATAATCCCAATGTATTTGGGAGCTACTACCACAGGAATTATATATTATGACTTTAAGGTGACAACTGGGATTAACAATGGATTTTGTCTGGTACATGGGATAATCCCAATGTATTTGGGAGCTACTACCACAAAATCAGCACTATAAAACAATATAAAATAAGCAATAAGAAGTTTTTAACAAAATCCATTGTTAATCCCAGTTGTCACCTTAAAGTCATAATAGATAATTTCTTCTATCTTCTAGTATCATTTACCAGCTAATAAACAAGAATTTGAAGTTATTAAAAAAACAAAAACAAAAGTTTACAGGCTTCCAACAACACTTCAAGACTAACAGCTGTTTTCATGAAAAAGATGGCTGCATAAACTGAAGTCACAGCAAACCCATTTAACTACATATCTGTCAAGCCCTTAATGCAACTGCAATGAATATTTTAGTCTTTTTTTATACTTAAACTTGTTCCTGAAAGTCATTCCCCATGTTCAGTGTAGGCTCTGTGAAACGAACTGTAAAACTTCTATTTTAAATTGACCTTGCCATCATTTACAAAAGTTTGTTGCAATGTAAATGACAGCATCATACAGTACTGTGTAATAATGGCCATCAAACTGAGCATAATTGACAATGAAATGGTTTTAAATGCTGCTATATATATAGCTTCAATACTATTAATTACATTAATTGTTAACAGGCAATTCCCAACTCTATCACAATAACTTTTGTAGATAAGGACATTTGCTCCAGATTAGGTTTGGATGTGGTTTTGGAGCCCACTGCTGTTCTAAATGTGTTGCTGAGTTTTTCTTTTTTTTCTCCATAGATATCACTGAAGCATTATGTCATTTGGGTCAACATAGTTTAACAACTTCACTACATGAACATATCTTTCCTTAAAAAGGGTTGTGATATAATTCCTCGATCATATGTCTACACATGGTGGTACTGCATCGTTGAATATTTGGAAAATCTCCACAAACCAAATATTTTGGTGCTAAATATAATCTGTGTTGATATGTCACTGAGTTGGCACATACAAGTCATTCTAATAAAATGCAGTTAACACTCTGTATTTCATATCTGACTTAAAAAAAAGTAAATATTTCACACAAACTTTATTTTACTGGAATGTATCTTAATTTAGTACTAATACTATATTACTGATATTAAGAATCTCTTTGTAACATAAACTGAAATTAATGAGCTTGAATTATATTTAGTACTTGTATAACAAATTTAATTAAGAATTTTAAAACTCTGTCATATGAATAAATTATTTCACCTAAGTGCATTTAATTAATCACTATATTTATTTGTTCCTTAAAATAACATACTGATAAGGCAATTGTAAAAATAAACAGTAACTGTAAAGCAAATGAAAATGAATAAATTCTGCTATGGTAGAATGAGCCAATATATAGTTATTTACTAATAAGGTAACCACAAAAATATAAAGTATGTAATAAACTTAAATAAAATTAATACAAGTCCTGTTAAGAGATAGCAAGCTAACATTTCACATCCTACTTATAATTTCTAATTATTAAGTTTCAAAACAGAAGGATAAATACCTCTCCTATTTCAAGCATTTGATCAGCTGGCTCTAAGCAACCATAAATTAAGTCAGCATCACTAAACTTCTGTTTCCGAATGTGCTGGGTATTTAAATACCTGAAAAAAAAGTCAAAGTTTTTGTATGACTAAAGGACAATTTTAAATTAATTTCAACCTGCTTAATAATGTATGGTTATAACTGAGAATTCATCTTCTGGATTAAGTGAATATTTTATACATCTTAAATAAAAATAACTATTATAATACAACATAAGTATTAATAATATTTGATATAACTCATTAACTCCACCACCAAAGATGGGCGAAGGTTATATTTTTACTCCTGTGTGTATGTTTGTCAGCAAGATTTCTTGAAAACAGCTAAATGGATTTGGATAAAAGTTGGTATGAATTTGGACTATGATTCAACTTAGAAGTGCTTAGTTTTTGGAGGGTCAAGGTCAAAGGCTAAGATCACAGGAGGGTCACAAATATCCAAAAAATCCCTATTTTTTAACATGGGGATCGATTTTCACGCTATTTTTGCTCTATAACTCAGACAAAAATTATCAGATTTTAATGAAACTTGGTGGACATATGTAGAATATTATTCCTCATTGTCTTGCCAAAAATGGTCCTTGTCCACTGATAATGACGAACATACGGATAGATTTTGTATTTTTTAAGAGCTTAATATGATCAACGCTGCATGGTGGAGGTATGTACTCTACTGAGTGTCCCTCTAGTTTTTACTTGCTACAAACTACATTTCCTCAAATTTCAAAAAATGCAAAGCATTATTGAACACACCAAAAAATAAACAATCTTCTGGGGTATACAGACCCCATAATGGAAACAACACTTGTAGCACAAGTTATTTCTATTGTGTTATTGAAAAAAAATCTTCATACTAATAAATAAAGAACTGCATGGGCATTTCTTACTTTGTGACAGATGTACACATAGTAATATACTTACATGTACAGCTTGTTCAGATAATTGACTCCTTGACTGTATTGTAGCCAGTGTTTATGATATGCACACAAAAGCCCTTCTTCAGAATTTGAAACTAACTGGAACAGAAAAATAAAAATCTCCATTAAAAGTAATTGAGCAAATGTTGAGAGTGGAAAGTATGATATCTAAAAGTATTTTCTAAAATTGCTGTAATGTACGCTACACAAAACAATTAAACGATAAAGGAAACTTATAGTATTTCACCTACGATAAGGCAATGTCCTCTCTCTGTTTATTTTTATACAAATTAAACATCTAATGATCTATCTTGTAACTTGAAATACCTACTCTCATAAATGAAGGTTTTGTAGATGTGCCTTTACCTCTTTACAGTTCATGAAATTAAACTTCAATATGGAATAAGGTCTTAACAAACAACAAGGACAGTCTAACACCAATGTTATACGCCGATAAGGTCCCGAGATGTTTCCAGAATATCTGTAGCATATGGAGTTACTCGAGAGATTGCAATATATCTCATATGAGCATTCTATACATGCCTTATGGAACTGAAGTCCAGTGAACATACAAGTCAATCTACTGAGTCAGTCCACCTTCTTCAAGGAAAGAGTTGACCAAAGAGAGGGGGGGGGGGGGTATTGTCTAAAATAAAGGTGAATTGCTCCAGCATGTAACAGCACAAGGTTTTGTAGGATGTGACTTCTATAACATGGCATTAATAGTATCATTCCACAGGATTTAGAAATCAGTACACTAACCAATGCTTATTCCTGCCCACACCATACTTTCTCCACTGCCATATATATACCACATTCCAGATCTTCAACAACTGATTATATGTATTATCTAACACATATATAAAAAAAGAACACTGCTTCGCATGTTGATCAATTGAATGCGAGCCATTACATGCTTTTGTACAAGTGGAATTCATCTCATTGAGCATCTAACATAAAAGGGTAGCTTTAAGTAAAAAAAACCAGATTGGCTCACAAAAAGTATAAGAGATAAAATAAAAGAAATTTAAATTGACTGGTATGACAGGAGATTTAGAAGATTATAGAAGATAAAGAAAGTTGGTGAAACAAGAAATTAGGGCATAAAAAAGATGTATGAAAAAAGGTTGGCTCAAATTGTAAAAATTAACAGTAAGGATGTCTTTAAATGCATTAAGGGTAAACAAAATGTTAGGATGGGGATAGGGTCCTTGAGGGATAATAAAGGAAGGCCAGTATCTGATGATTATGAGATGGCTGGTTTATTAAATTTTGCTTTTTCTTTGATTTTTACTAACAGAGGTTTAAGCAGTATTCCACATCTTGAACAGTTGATAGATGAAAACAAGATCGTACAAAATGAGTGCATTAATCCTGAACTGGTAAAGAAAAAATTGGGAAGTTTAAAGAACAATAATGCTCCTGAGCCAGATAATATTTCCCCAAGAGTTTTGAAGGAGGTTAAAGATTGTATATGTGAGCCACTTGCTACTATTTTTTGTCAGTCCTTGAATACAGGGCAGGTACCAGAAGATTGGAAGTTATCTAATGTAACTCTTCTTTTCAAGGGAGGTGATAAAAATTATCCCAGTAATTACAGACCCATTAGTCTTACATCAGTTGTGGGAAAAGTTTTGGAAAGTCTGATAAAAGATGCTTCGCAAAATCATCTAACAAAGTTAAAAACTAAGGGAATATCTTGGCTGACAAATCTTTTGACATTCTTTGAAAAGGTTACTGCTTATGTAGATTTGGTGTATCTGGATTTTCAGAAAGCATCTGACAAGGTGCCACATAAAAGGCTTGTAAAAAAAATTATCTCAACAGGTATGGGGGATAAGTTAGCAAATTGGATAGGAGAGTGGCTGGATGAAAGAAAGCAGAGGGTTGTTACAAATGTAGTTCAGTCAAACTGGATTAATGCCACAAGTGGGGTACCTTAGGGCTCAGTCTTAGGAACTTTGCTCTTTTTGATTTACATTAATGACGTAGATGAAAGAATGGTTAACAAATCACTTAAATTTGCAGATGATATTGAGGTCTTGGGTGATGCTAGCTGTGAAGAGGATGCTGCTGATTTACAAAAGGATTTAGATCATTTATTGAGTTGGGCAAATAAATGGCAAATGGGTTTTAATTATAATAAATGCAAGATAATGCATGTGGGTTATCATAATTTCAATTATAAGTATAACATGGATGGGAATAACCTTAACAGTGTCATGAAAGAAAGGGATCTTGGTGTAATAAATGAGCAGTCTCTTAAGCCATCCAAGTAGTGTGCTGTTGCTAGTGGTAGGGCAAATAAGATTTTAGGTTGTATCTACAGAAATATTGAATACAAGTCTAAAGAAGTTATCATTTCATTGTATAGGTCACTGGTTAGGCCTTATTTGGAATATTGTGTTCAGTCTTTAGCTCCTTAGGAAAGACAATGAATTCTCGGAAAGGGTTCAGAAAAGAGTTAGTAAAATGGTGCTTGGGATGGAGGGGTTGTCATACGAGGAGAGGTTGAAATCAAATTGTTTTTTCTTGAAAAAAAGAAAAGTTAGGGGAGATCTGACTGAGGTGTTTAAGATTGTAGAGGGAATTGAGAGTGTTGATGCACCATCTTTTTTCATACTTAACAGTGAGAATAGTAGGACTAGGGGCCACAAGTATAAAGTTTGACAGGGTAGGAGTCATCTTCAGCTATGACAGTTTTATTTTTTTTAGCAGGGTGGTTGGCCTTTGGAATTGATTGTGTCTTCAGATGTTGTGGAGGCAGTAAACTTAAGTGACTTTAAGAGAAAGCTTGTTAAGTATATGAATGATAAGGGCTGGCTTTAAGATTTTTTTCTTTTAAGTTATTTATTAATAGTTTTAGTTTAGAGGCTGGAACAGCCGAGTTGAACCAATAGGTCCCATGTTGTCCCAAAACATTATGTTAAGTCCATTTCTACCTAACTGTACACTGACCAGTGTCCCATTGCAACCACAAACACGATTCAGTCTCAAAGCAAGTAATCTACAACTAGAGCAAATCACAGTTATTAGTGTATGTTGTCCAGCTGTCCAAGTCACCGTACAGGGTACATCATATACTAATTACACACAATACACCTAGGTGGCTGTTTAACAGTTGGTACACCTCAGTCATAAAATGTTTTTATCTAGTTTTTCTTAAATACAGCTGATAATTGAAAATATTAAAATATATGATACAATATGGAAATCAATTTTCATGAATATTATGGTCCATAGCACACTAGCATTACTTTCACATCATTATGACACTACTATAAACATTACTTTTTGACATATATTTGAAGAAATTGATTAACAAACTATAACAACTTTTCAATTTGAAGTGTTGCATTTGTACACCTACATATAAAAATACGTAAGTACACAAATATGCAAGTGTTCATTTACGTGTATCTGTATTAAAGAATATATTGTTCAGACATACATCACTTTTGGACATTTAGGTATACTAGTACATGAATTAATTTTGTTATGATAGTAGTGTTGTAGTAGTATAATAATTCTATGAAAGCTAATCAGAGTATGAAATTTGAGATTTTATTAACTATACCTATAACAATATATATATATATATATATAAAGCCTGGCGAAAACCTTAATTAATTTTCATAGAATAACTTCTGCAAGATCATTATGTTAGGTCACATGGCTTATAACCAGAAATAAATTTAGGATAATTACCTTATACAGAGAATGTACATGATGATCAAGAAATTGCTTGGTTTCTTGATACAATCTGTCACCCAGTGGCTCTGGAAATGCCACACAGAGAGCATACACATCAGTGGTTTCAGTTAAGGATTACCACATTTATAAGATGAAGACATTATATCTTCTAACATTACCACTGGAAGTGTTGTTAACAGTAAAAGTATCAACTGGTGATTTATTACAGTATTATATCCAATGGCAATATTGCACTATAATATATTAAATAATTTCAGATAAACTGGAATCTTTAAAATGTAACCATGCTAAGTAACCTACATCCAAACATACACACACACACACATCTATTTCAATATACACACACATATATCTTCTTGACATTTATCACTACAGACAGGCTGATCATTTAACTGTGTAGCACGATAATATAAACATGGAAAATAAGAATTAAAATGTATTATTAACTAGCAACATTGTTACATTATACAAATATACTTCTAACATTTAACTAAAAAAACGTTTTCACTACAAATTCAGCAAACAAGAAAATTACTATATAGCATTGCATGCGACTTTGGACTATTTTACAGCTGTTATACATACACATACACAAAAACAAATGCACATGTATTTCTTATACAAAATTATTTTAGTAGGAAAGGGATCCACATTATGAATGGATAAATTCATGTACTGTACATAACTTGTAATAATTCAGTATGCCTCTCACACTTGTAAATGTTTTTTTTTTCTTACTTAAAATGAAATCAAAAGCTGAATCTAGTTTAGTTTTATGTCATAGTATTACATGACTTTGAAATAAAACTATTCTTTATGATCTACTAGTGTAGAGCCCATAAAAAATTATGGGGTAAGTACTACCATCCCCACCCCACAGTATATCTTAACCTCACATTTCATAGCTAAATGAAATAAATAAATTTTATGAAATCAAGATT